ATTTTAAAATAATAAATAATTTTTTATTTTTTATTTTAAAATTAATAATTTAAAAATAATTTTTAATTCTATTTATTTTACTCCCACCGCTACCTTTTTCGTTAGTCCTTCCTGAAAAATTATTTTTACTTTCATTTTATACTTGAAAAAGAAGATAATAGAAGGAATTGTACACCGGCAAGTCTAGAAATTGGGCCAAGCAGATTTGAAGTAGCGTACAATAGATCTTTTATTGCAGTTGCAGGCCTACTCTTTCTGATATAGAGAGGTGATGGATTTTTTTTTTTTTGAAAGAAAAAGTATGTTTCAAATATCATTGATAAGGGGCATACCTCATTTTAAAGTGATTAATTAATATATTTTTTAATATAATATAATATATAATATATTTATTAAAAAATTATTATTTATTAATATAAAATAAAAATAAAAATTTAAATATATAATCATATATATAATATAAGAATTGAATAATTAATTTTATTTATATATATTGTATTTAAATAATTAAATAAATATAAAAAAATATGTTAAATTAAAAAATATATCAATAATTTTTATATTTTAAAATTACATTTTTTTAATGAAATTCTTATTAAAAAATGCTTTTAGTTAAATTTGATTTATAATAGATCAAAGTTTTTAAAGTAATCATTCCAAAAAAAACCAACAAAAATCTATGATATGAGACTATCACATTTAAGGAAATTATTTTTTTTTTTAATATAAAAAGTATATACTTTTCCCTGTTACACACTTACACTTCGTAGAGAACCTAATTGAACCAGTTGTCTACGTGCAGGTCTAGAAGTAGGGTTTTTTTTTTTTTTTTTTTTTTTTTTTTAACATAGGTCAAGAAGAAGGTATTGAAAAAAAATTAGATACTGAAAAATAAATGAGGTCCACAAAATTAGAAGGTAGCATACAGCAGATTTGCACGATTTGAATTTTAAGCTTATTTTCTCTTTTAAGAGAGGTTAACAGATATTTCTTAAAAAAAAAGTATGA